CAGAGTTCTGCTTGTATATCTTGTGGTTTTGTGGTGGTTCCGTTGGTCAGGTTCTGAAGTCAGTATCTCTCTGGGACTGTTGGGAACTTAAGACAACAATTTCCACTTGGATTCACTGCACTGGTTTAGTGCTTAAAGATCAACTTTATTCATATTTTACACATCTGCAGTGATCTCTAGCAGGAATTAATGCATTTCAAGTCGTTCACTGGGGGGAAAAACGCTCCGGTGCACCTGTTTGAGGTCACTGAGGTCAGATGGAAGAGAAAGTAACTTTAATTCAATTCAATTAAATTTTATTTATAAAGCGCCAAATCACGACAAGAGTCGTCTCAAGGCACTTCTCTTAATAAACATTCCAATACAGGTCAGGTCAATAAGCCAATCAGAAAAAAAGTTTCCTATATAAGGAACCCAGCAGGCTGCATCAAGTCACTGACTAGTGTCAGTGACTTTACAGCAATCCTCATACTAAGCAAGCATTTAGCGACAGTGGAGAGGAAAAATCCCTTTTAACAGGAAGAAACCTCCAGACGATCCTGGCTCAGTATAAGCAGCCATCCTCCACGACTCACTGGGGATCGAGAAGACAGAGCACACACACACACACACACACACACACACACACACACACACACACACACACACACACACACACACAGCAAGCTATGTGTCTATGGTTACATTGTGATTTCTTAGTAAATATTCTATTTGGCGAGAGATAAACTTTAGAATTTAGGATTTGGAGTCTTACTTCCTGATATTTGGACAACTCTCCTCTGATTGGCTAACAGCAACACGACTCTACCACTGACTCTGTTTGCTCTGCAACGTTGATGTTTTACCTCCACAAACAACACAAGCCTGGAGGTGTTCTGTTGTGCGGTGGAGCAGCTAATGCTATTGTTAGCTTCTGCTAGCCGAGGCGTTCTCTGCTGTTTCCTAGACGCTAAACCAGCAACAGCCTTCCCCGTCATGAGTCCAGATGGGTGAGTCCATGAATGTTAGTGACAGTGTGACGTAGATCTGTCAGGATGTTCTAATCCCAGAGTTTCACCATCTGTTTTCTATCAGAAGCTACTGCAGGAGATAGGTGTAGGAGACTATTTTCATGTTCAACCGTCATGAAACACTCAAAGTGACCCGTCAGAATCAGAAATTATAAGAAAAAATGTTTTGTCAGTGAACCTGCTCTTTAAATCCTGGTCTTTTACAGCTATTTTTCTACAAGGTTGAATCTTTTTCCTGCTTCAACACACCTGTGTGGTGGAAACACCTGTTCAGTGTGTCCACAGAGGCCTGTTCGAATCAGAGAGTTCTAGAACTTGCAGGACATCTAGGACCAGAATTGAACACCAGGGTTCCAATAGGTCAATAAAGAGCAAGTCCCACCCCCAGACTTTCCAATACAAGTCTTATCATTGCAGACTAGGAACAATTGCCAGAATTCCATTCCATTCCATTTATTTGATAGAGCACATTTAAAAACAGCATGTGAGCTGACCAAAGTGCTGTACAGGGGTAAAAACATATAAGGTTAAAAGAATAATATAAAAGAATAAAACAGCTGGAGCACAGCACAAAGAACCAAACAAGAGAAGTCAATAAAATCGGTAAAAGAACAGTGTAAATAAACCATTGATAAAATAGCTAGGCAGTAAAAGCAAGGGAATAAAAGTAAGTCTTTGAGTGAGACTTAAAAACACCAATGGAGGGGGAGAGTCTGATATTCAACGGGAGATCATTCCAGAGTTTAGGAGCACAGACAGAAAAAGCTCATTCACCACGGGTGTTGCAGCGTAGACGGGGAATCTGTAGGAGGTGTAGGTCACCTGAACGGAGAGTCCTGCCCGGCACATAAGGAGTGAGTGACTCGGATATGTAAGGTGGTGCTAAGCCATTCAACGCCTTAAAAACAAACAATAAAAATTTAAAACGTATACGATAGTGCACAGGAAGCCAGTGAAGTCTTGCTAAAATTGGAGTGATGTGCTGCCGACGGCCAGTATTGGTCAGAAATCTTGCTGTCGCATTCTGTATCAGCTGAATGCGAGATAATGCAGCTTTTGAAATGCCAAACAGAATTGCATTGGAGTAATCCAACCTTGAGGTGATGAAAGCGTGAATGGTTGTCTCGAGGTGGCGCTGATTCAGAATGGGTTTTAGTTTGGAAAGACGTCTCAGCTGATAAAAACATGATTTAACCGTGTGATTAATGTGAGGGTCCATTTTTAGAGCTGCATCCATTTTAATTCCAAGATTAACAATTTGTTTGACTAATTTTAAAAGGAAGAGCAGAAAAATCAGGAGCGGAGGAAGACGAGCCATTAGGAGTAAAAACAATAAACTCGGTTTTAAAATCATTCAGCAGCAGAAAATTTGCTGCCAGCCAGTCTTTAACCTCACTCGGGCAATCAAGGAGCGGCTGGATGGAGGTAAAAGTCTTCAAGGGAACATAAATCTGGCAGTCGTCCGCATAAAGATGAAAGTTAAAGTTGAACTTCCTAAAGATTAGTCCCAGTAGAAGAATATAAAAAAGGGAGCCGGGAATAAACCCCTGTGGCACGCCCCAAGGAAGAGCAGCTGAGGGAGATGAACAGTCATCCATTCTAAATCTTATAGAACTGTTGTAGAAATAGGAGCGGAACCAGTCAAGCGCAGATCCCTTAATGCCGACCAAATTCTCAAGGTGGGACAATAAAATGTCATGGTCAACCGTGTCAAATGCAGCTGAGAGGTCCAACATCACCAAGGCAACATGGGAACTGGAATCAGTGGCTAAAATAATATCATTAAAAACCCTGATGTGAGTGGATTCTGTGCTGTGATATTGTCTAAAACCAGACTGAAATTTATCCAAGACCCCAAAATTGTTCAGATGAGGCATAATTTGATTATAAACAACTTTTTTCCAACACTTTTGACAAGAAGGGGAGCTTTGAAATAGGGCGAAAGTTCCCAAGGACATTTGGGTCTAAGCCCGATTTTTTCAATAGTGGTTGAAGCACGGCATGTTTAAAAAGGAGGGTATAATTCCCGAAACAAGGCCAGAGTTAATAATGTTGAGCACATGAGGGGCTACCATTGGAAGAACCTCCTGGAAGAGTATTGCTGGTACAATGTCATCAGCGCATCCTGATGGCTTCATGGAAGATATTAATCTCTCCAGGGCAGGCAGTGTGATCGGCTCTAAATGGTCAAAGCATCCGGTACAAACAGATATGGGTGGCAGAACATCTCCAGGGGAAATGATTAGACTCCTAATATGACCCACAACCCACTGGGAGGCTATCTCTTCCTGCAAATGTGGCAGGATTCAGAACGATTGAATATTTAATGTGGAGAGAAAAGAGCGTGGAACAATCCGTCACTTTCCAGAAACAGAAATTAGAAATAAAACGTTAATGCTAAAACGTGGTTGTGTCTATTTTGATGCTGATGTTTGCAGAGTGGAGATCAATATTCCCTCCTCTGTGGGAATTATAAGGAATGCATGAACGGTCCATCAAGAGCCTCGTAATGTGCTGCAGATGGACGGAAGCAGAGATGGATTTTTTATCTCTTCATCAACAATGCTGAGCCAAACTGGTCTCTGTTGGGTAACAACACTGGTTAAGCTGGGAGGGGAACCAGGGTCAAGACTGGTGAATCGTTTCCAGGAACTAGCAATGTCCTATATCCTGTGATGGGAATAATGTTTAAAATAACGGCGTTACAAAAACGACTTCTTTTTTTCAGTAACGAGTAATCTACTTAATTCTTTTATCATAACGTCGTTTCCGTTACTGATGAGAAACTGTGTGCGTGACTACTTCAGCAGCGCGGTGTGTTGAAGCCGTCATCAGCTGGTCAGGAGCTAAAGAGGCGGATGTTTTCATCCAAGCTCATCACGACCCGTGAAGAACGAGGAAGACCTGATGAATATAGTCTACAGCTGCAGGCCTGCAGATTTGCTGCCACATTTAAATCTCAGAGTTAATTTAACTTTTATTCCTTACATTATATGGTCAATTCAAAACAAGTTTAGGAAGTTCTATTTTCAGTACCTTCCAGAATGAGCCATTTAACGTCTCTGTCACTATAAGGAAATACTAATAAACGAGGTTCTTTTTGCTTCAGACATGAAGGTGTTTCGAGTTACCTTTACATGTTTCGACCGTCGTCTGCGGTCTTCTTCAGAAGTGTCACCGGTGTTTGTGTGATGCGTCTTTATCAGCTGTTCTTCTGGTGGGCGCGACCAACCTGGATCTGTCAGATCCGCCGGGTCAGGACACCGGTGGCACTTCTGAAGAAGACCACAGACGATGGTCGAAACTTGTAAAGGTAACTCGAAACACCTTCATGTCCGAAGCAAAAAGAACCTTGTTTATTATTTTAAAAGAGGGCATAATGAACATCGTAAGGGATATAAGGAAATGCATTGGAACCGGCCCCGCCCACCATTCTCAGGCTGCTATAAGTTGAGAAACCCTGACATCTGGAGGGGCTCGCAGTAGACCCGCTGCTCCAGCTGCAGCTCTCTCTCTCTCTTGCACGAGGTGGTTATATTGGACTTTCCCTGTTTGTGACATCACAAACGGGGACATTTTGAAATGGCTATTTTTAAGCACGTAATTCCTAAAATCAAACTGTGATGGAAAACGAATGCAGTGGTTTTTCACATTTAAGGTGTTTATGGAAAAGTTAGAGACCCAAATGGCAGCACAAAGGGATAACACGGAAAGGTAAAATAATGATTAGGCTTAAAAACTCGAACTTAGTTATTATTAAGTCCAACTAGGCACCAGAGCTGCATTAATTCTGAAACCATCAGTTTTCTGAAGATTTCAGGGACACATCTCGCCACAGAAATCTCTGGTGAAAAGAGTTTGTAAACATTTCTCCTCCCGCATGCTATTAACCGACAAAGAAAACAACGATCAGACATGTTGATTCTCTTTTATTCCAGTGTTTCCTTTAATAAATACCACATCGTTAAAGTAAGACGTGAGAGACAGAGCTGGGTTAAAGATGCTTTATTATGGTTTTGGGTGCTGATGAGGCAGCCGGATCTGAGCCTGAAGAGATTGTTGTCCATCTCAGTTTCTACATCAGGAAAAATTAACAAACAAAAACAGCCACGCCTGCATGAGGGCTGGTGTTGGTGGAATATGAGGGGGAGGGAGGGAGGAAGGGGAGGAAGAACGAGGTGAGTGGGAAGCCGGGAACTGAAACAGGAAGAGAGGAAGATGAAAGTGGAGAGTTTTGATGATCAGATTCAACACCGGCGGTTGTTGACCTTCTCTTTCACAGTAAATAAGACCTCATTACTCATTTGACAACAACCTTCTGCTTCCTCTCCATCTTCTAATTCAAACCACCGGGAGCTTTTAGGATGGAGGAGAGGACATTACACCCTCTCCCTCCTCCTCTCCTTTTTCGCCCTCCCTCCATCTCCTCCTTCTCTGCGCCTCCCCTCGGCCTCCGCCTCTCCTCCGGCCCCTCTCTTCCTCGCCCTCGCCGGATTTCACTTGGAGGACACGGTGTAGCAGCCGTGTGGGTGCCACTGCATGTCACGGATGCGTCTGATGGACTGCATCTGGGGGCAGCGAGCACCAAACTCGTTGAAGTGCCGGTATTCTCCCTTCTCCAGCAGGAACTGGCTCCCGCGGTATCCGGGGAACTGGTAACCCACCCAGCTGGGAAGGGAAGGGAAGAGGAGGAGACCAATTACAAGGTTGCAGCTAAAACCACTTAAAGGGGAAGCATATGCTGGCTAAATGAGTAACAAATGTAAAGAAAAACAGATGCAGAGAAATCACAGAGGGGTAAAGTAAAGAGGCAGTGATTCATTTTGTGTTTTCGGGCTGGCCAGCTGTTTGTTTCGAACAGTCTGAAGCTCCATGAATAAAGTCATCTCAGCTCAGAGGAGAGTGTTTTCTGTCTGCCACACCTCTGAGATCACAGACAGGTTCACGGAGCTGCTGACGTCCGTGACACCCTCAGCTCGCTGCTGCTGAAACAAGCCGCTGTTCCCGCTCTCCCACCCAGACAGTCAGTCTGTGATTATAAAGCTGCTCCAGAATGACGCCACGGATGCGAACGCCGCCTGACACACGCAGGAGCATACGGGCTTGGACCTTTCTGACGCAGTTGTTGGAGAAGCAAAGTGAAATGTTTGTTTTTTTTGTCAGAGCAGCTGAAATACGCATGATTTAGTAAATGAAAGCTGCAAATGGAAAAAGCAGGAGACAGTTCCAGCTTCGGGGGAGAATACAGAACAGCGTTTGAAGTAATAGTCATGAGAGAACTTTGCTTGAAAAGGTGGTGGAGGTGAGACTCGTTCAGTTCATGAGATTCACACAATCTCACGCCTTCCGTTTTCTCACACGCTTAAAAAGTTACTGCCAACTAAAAAGCTGTGATTCCGCGTGTGACCAAGCCTCAATATATGACGATTCGGGGCGCCCCAGCGCGTCAGGAGACGACGATCAGGGACACGTGGCTCCGTTGACGTCACTGTTTGACGCCCGCGGTCACACGGACATTATTCGACTATTTAACCTTCCCCTCACCCCAATCCCAACCTTAAGGTCCATAAACTGTGACCTTAAGGTTAGGATTGGGTTGAAGGGATTGGGTTGAAGTTAAGTAGTTCACAAGTCGTTCTAATGTCCGTCTCACCACTGGCGTCGGATACCGACGCTCTGGGACGGTGCGTCATCAGCGTGTCCCTGATCGTCGTCTCCTGACGCGCTGGGGCGTCCCGAATCGTCATAGATTGAGGCTTGGTCACACGCGTCACATATTGACGCTTTGGGTGTGAGAATGTGTTGGTGATTCTGATAGAAACCCGCAGCACGCAGTGCCACATCGATACGTTTTTCAACAGGTTTCGATGTTGCAGCTATTCGTCCTGGAGATGTTGGATCAGGGTCCAGACCCGACCAGAGCAGCTGGTCACATTCAGCTCTCGATCTCGATCGCTGACCTACGTTCCACGTTTCACATCGACACCGGCTCTTTACTGGACCTCTTTCATCTAATAACACCTACTCATCAGGAGCTGGAGGCGTGCTCAAGGAGAAGTGAGAGGGCCACGTTGGAAATCTCTGAGTTTGTTTCACTTTAACTCAGCTAAATTTACTCTGGAGTCAAACTAACAGCAGCATTTGTAACGTCTGACGTGTTTTGGAAGCGTAGTGCATAAAAAAATAGACTCGAAATCAAATGATAGCGTCTCTTTGCTTCTGGGACCCTCAAGGGGTGGCCATGGCCACCTGCTGGCCCCCCCATGGAAGACCAGTGTTAATAAATCATATTAAAGTTCGCTCAAACCATAAATTTGTCTTATTAATTCAAGACATAAATGCAAACACTATTTAAAAAATCATTAAGTTAGCAAGTTAAAAAAATCTAAATTTTTAAAAATGTACTTATGTTTCTGCTGCTCACCATTTAAGAGAAAAGTTTATATCGCCATAGTTTTTTTGAAGGCAGCAACAGGTGAGCTAAACTAAAAAATCAAAGTCTAAAATATTAAAATAACATTTAAAGTTGCTGAAATGTTTGTGTTTCTCATATTTGTAGTCAAGTGTTTTGGATACATGTTGTTGTTTTAATAAAAACTAAAAAACAATGCAGAGTTAACACAAGAAATTTGGTGTGCCACCCCAAAATTTTCTTTGGCCCCCTCTAGCTACCCTTACAAAATTTTTCTGGGGCCGCCCCTGGGATGCGTCCAGAATTTTACACTTTGCTGCTTGTGGAAAGAAACCCGTCCACCATCATGGCAGTTAATGGCACATTTCTGTTTCTAAATTATTTTAGTGAGTCATCTATCCTGCAGAGCCCCAGACGGGACATTTAAGGGACAAATGATAATTTTATAGTGCAAGACACTTTACTTCTCCTCCAATGTCGCCTCAGGTGTTGTTGGGGGGTTAGGCTAGCTGGTTTCTTCTCTCATTGTCAGATTTGGGTGCAAATCCAAAAATACTCACGTTCCACAGCTGACCATCACACTGCCCACCCTGTCGGTGAATCCGTAGGAAAACAGACTGGGAACGTCATCGTCCATGATCTCCATTTTGCGGCCTTTGAATTCTCCAACCTCATACAAGCAGATCTTGTGCTTCTCGGGATCCTGCAGAACGCCGGGCAAAGAAAACAGGCAGAGATGAAGAGCAGAAGAGAGCTAAAGGTCCGGTATGTGATCTGGGAATGATCCTGGGCTGAGTCGCACCATGCGGACGGGCCTGAAGGACAGCAGGTAGTCGTTCTTCTGACAGTTGCTCCAAGAGTCCCAGCGGGGATACTCGCCCTTCTCCAGGATGAACATTTCACCACAGAAGTTCATCTGCTCAAAACCCACGAAGCTGGAGGAGAGCGTTCAGTTAGAGGAACAACGTAGATATAAATACAACGCAATGAGCGTGAGTTCCTGTGGAAGGTAACTCATTATTCTTCTCTCTGTTGTTAAAATGCTTCTTGTTTGCACTAACAAACGCGGCTTCCTGCAAACTGCTTTAGGTATAAATATTGATGTCACAACTTCCGTTGTTCTGGGAGGGGCTCAGAGTAGAGCAGCCGCATCTCTGTCTTGCATGTTCTATTCTGATTTCCCTGTTTGTGACATCACAGATGGAGACGTTTTGAAATGGTTTGTTTTAGGCACATAATTCCTGAATCCAAACACTAAATGTGAAAAAACCTGTTCATAAAGGCATTAGAGACCCACATGGCAGCAAAAAGGGAGTTTTACCTGATTTGCCCCTTTTTAAAGGAGTTTTTTTATTCTCTTGTAGCTAAAATTTAGCTAATTTTGGCTTCTTTTCAAAGAACTCACTACTTGTTCTGTTATTTGTCCCGGTCCTTAACAAACACCTCTCTTGATGTCATTGTGAGGTTTGTTTTGGTCAAAGTCACTGCCTTTTGTCATTTTGTCAGTAGTTCCTAAAGTAAAGTTCACTCTTCTGCTGCACTCCTGACAAATCACCCAGATGAAAGCATCATCTGCTTTGTTGAGAATCCAAAGTGGGAAATGTCACCTAATGGAGAGGCGCATCTGTGAAATCAGCTGCTCTTCGCTCGCAGCAGCGTGGGTTTCTGGGTACGGTGCTTAAGTGCATGCTGCTGTACTCACGGCCCACAGTCGACACGCAGGGAGCGCACCCTGTCCATCCCCATGTCGCACACGCTCACACACTCGGCGTTGATCTCCATGCAGCGGCCCTGGAAGTTCTCCTGATCATAAACGTACATCTGGAGGTTTGGGTTGAAAACAACAGGAAATGTAAAGAGCTGGAGAGGATTTAAGGTACAACAGAAACGAGAGGAAGCGTCAAAACAGGAGAAATCAGAGGGTCTGTGTCTTTCTGTCAGCTGAAGCTGCCGACCCCCCACTCAAAACCCAGTGTGTGTGTGTGTGTGTGTGTGTGTGTGTGTGTGTGTGTGTGTGTGTGTGTGTGTGTGTGTGTGTGTGTGTGTGTGTGTGTGTGTGTGTGTGTGTGTGTGTGTGTGTGTGTGTGTGTGTGTGTGTGTGTGTTTACCTTGTAGGACTTCATTCCCATCTCAGACATCTTGTTCTGAGCTGCCTTCCCGTCCGTCTGGGAAGCAGACTTGGATCTCTCTCCTCCAGCAGACATGACTGGGTAGAGAAAAGCCACAAACGGTTTTCAGCATCACGACTAAAGGAGAATCACTTCATTTAACACATTTTAACGCTTAAACTGGCTTTTTTAAAAGGATCCGGAGACCAAAGGAGTACGGTGGTCAAAAATACTCTCAAATACACCTTTTTTTTAATAAAACAACTGCTGTAAAATACTGGATAAATACAATCCTACGAGTTTTAAAAGTTTTGTGAATTTTTCTTTCATAAAACTGACATTTAAATGGCTCGAATGTAGAAAAAACATTCGTAAAGCACAACAAGAGCAGGCTGTAAGCCAGCGAAGTGCAAAACATATCATCCATCCATTCTCTTCTGCCCATCCGAGGTCAGATCACGGGGTCAGCAGCCTGAGGAGAGAGGCCCCGACTTCCCTTTCCCCAGCCGCTTGGGCCAAACAGTAAATCAACAAAACTAAAATAACTATTTAACAAATCTTGAGTTTTTAACTTTTAAATAAATTTTCATCTGAAATTGTTCAGCTGGACGTTATTCTCATCTTTGTTCTGCTGTATTTTATACTCATATATGACTAGTTTTATTGTTGTTTTCATTTAAAAGCTGAACCAAGGTCTGAGTGTGAAGCAACAGTTGTTGTTCTGACGCGTAACTAAACTAAAGAGCAAACATTTCATGAAATCAAACTTTTTCACTTGATAAGAATTACGTCAATTATGATAAGTTACTTTTTTGTTTGAAACTAAGGAAAAAACTCCTGTTTTTGCACGGAAGGGGCGGGACTTTAAACTAATACAGGAACCAGCCACTAGGGGGCGTTTTGGTCCATTTCTCACATCAGATTCTTCTCTCTAGTTTATTAAATACCTCGGTGAGTCTATTATCTCACATTTGAGCTTTCTCTGAGATATTTAGCATAAAAATTTAGTGAGTATTTTAGTCAGTATTTTTTTAAAAGGTCTAATTCAGTTTTCAGCCAGAATTAAACAAGTTAAGACATCAGAGAGCCACCTGCAAAACAAAACATCTTTAAGAAAATGGAGACGTAGAGCAGAAGTCAAAAGAAGGTGCTGAATTTATGAATCCATCCAGGTTCCGGTCGAGGCTTGCCTTACAAAAAGAACCAATTATAAACGCTAAATTTAGCAGCTTACTGGAACAAATACAGAAAGTTTCTAACAAAAAGTGATTAAAAATTTCTCTAAACTAAATCATTACAAATAAATCATAAATCTAGTCCAGCTAAGTGATGAAAACCAGGACAAAATCAACAGAATACAGCAGAAGCAGATGTCCTCTTTAGAAGAAACTGCTTTTGGCAGCAGCTCCTGGACTTCCACAGAGGAAAAATCATGTTTTACCACCATCTTTTTTTTTTAACTTTAACAACATTTCACAGCTAAATCTGATTATTTTATATCGTCCTTTGCTTCCTATGTCCCCTCCCTGTTCCCTGTCCTGCATGACGCGTGTCCACTGTCTTACCTGTGGCAGTGTGTGCGTAAAGGAGTGGGCTCGGGGCTCTGGCTGGTGGTCTGTGTGAGGAGCGGAGGGCCCCTCGGGGCTTTTATATGCTGGCGCCCGGAGCGGAGGGATTAGACACACAGAAACAAACTCGCTGAGCTCACAGCTGCCACAGAATAGAAATCCCCCCATCATCAAAGAGATGGCAGGGACAGAGGAAACAGGGTGAAAAAGGAGAAGAATATCAGGGAGAAAGGCATCAAACTCTGAGTCACTTCAGGTTTATATCAACAGGATTAAATGGAATAAATGATGACTTACCTGCTTCCTTACAAATATCTCCAAAACTGAACAAAATCTAGTCGTAAGCTTTTAGAAAACTTCAGACAGTACAAACATGGCTTTAAATCTGTTTTTTCTACAGATATTAGTTCATATTTGGTGTGTTTATAAGCAAAGTATCACCCCCAACTCATGATCTGAGCACTGATGAATCAAAAGAGATCATTCAAAACCGCTGGAGTTTGTGTCAAAGAATTTAATGGACGTCTAGGAAGTGGATTCACATTCAGAGTTGATCAAAGCTGAAGTTGAACTTAAAACATAACGTTAAATCATGTGTGTCATTTTCAAATTCTCCTGAAAACAGCCAGAACGCCAATCTTTTCTCCTCGTTAGTCAATCTTCTCAGAGTCACAATATATACATACATATATATATATATATATACACATATATATATATGTGTATGTATATATATATATATACACATATATATATATATATATATATGTATATATATATATATATACACATATATATATATATACATACATATATATATACATATATATATATATATATATATATATATATATATATATATATATATATATACATATATATATATATATATATATATATATATGCATGTAGGTATATATATATATATATATATATATATATATATATATACACACATATATATATATATATATATGCATGTATGTATACACATATATATATATATATATATACATACATATATATACATACATATATATATATACATACATATATATATATATATATATATATATATATATATATATATATACATATATATATATATATATATATATATATATATATATATATATATATATATATATATATGCATGTAGGTATATATATATATATATATATATATATATATATATATATATATATATATATATATATATACACATATATATATATATATATGCATGTATGTATATATATATATATATATATATATATATATATATATATATATGCATGTAGGTATATATATATATATATATATATATATATATATACATACATGCATGGAGGTATATATATATATATATATATATATATATATATACACATACATGCATACATATATATATATATATATATATATATGTATGTATGCATGTATGTATATATATATATATATATATATATATATATATATATATATATATGCATGTATGTATGTATATATATATATATATGTATGTATGCATGTATGTATATATATATATATATATATACATACATGCATACATATATATATATATATATATGTGTGTGTGTGTGTGTGTGTGTGTGTGTGTGTGTGTGTGTGTGTGTGTGTGTGTGTGTGTGTGTGTGTGTGTGTGTGTGTGAGTGTGTGTGTGTGTGTGAGTGTGTGTGTGTGTGTGAGTGTGTGTGTGTGTGTGAGTGTGTGTGTGTGTGTGTGTGTGTGTGTGTGTGTGTGTGTGAGTGTGTGTGTGTGTGTGAGTGTGTGTGTGTGTGTGTGTGAGTGTGTGTGTGTGTGTGTGTGTGTGTGTGTGTGTGTGTGTGTATTGTGATTTAGGTTAAAATTCTGGGAAGGGATTTGCTGAAGCCTTTTGAAGGGGTCCTAGAACGTATTGACACGTTTACCATGTTTTTGAATGTCTGCACCTTGGGGTGTCAAATGGTAAAATGATAAATTGCTTGTATTTGATATAGAGCCTTCTAGGGTCCGAAAACCCCCCAAGACACTTTGCAACATAATCAGCAGTTCACCCATTGAGACACACATTCACACGCTGTTGGTGATGACAGCCCGTCAGCCATATTCACGGCAAGGCGTCCTTCCATTAATATGCTCCTCGCCTCTGGAACAAGCTGCTAGGGGACCTCAGGGCTGCTGAGAATGTTCATATTTGTAGAAACGGGCTCAAGACTCATCTTTTTAGCTTAGCTTTTAACTGAATACATCACTTTTTAAATTAATTACTTAGGTTATTTATTTATTTATCAATTTTTTACAATTTATTTAATGTATTCTTTCTTTATACGTGCTTTTTAAACCGTTTTTTACCATGATTCATGATCCACATTATTTTAATATCTATATAACTTTTTATATTACAATTCTCCTTTTGTTCTCATGATTTCATATTTTAACCTTAATTCATCCTTTTTCCAGTGTTTCCTCTGTGGGAGCCCTCTGCCCCGGCGGCGGTGGTTCGCTGTGGCGGCCTGGGTGCTTTCCAGGTGTGCCTAGGTGGAGGTGGGGGTCTCTGCCCTCCCTGCCCTGGGCGCCCTGTGTCAGTGCTGTGGATCTGCTGCTGCCGGGGCGGATGGCTCCCCTGATGGCGTTTCCTTATCCTTATCTTTTCTGGTCTGGCTCATCTGATCTCAGCCAATCGTGTTTTTTTTTTTTACCATGGGGAAGGGGGGGCGTGTGTGTGTGTGTGTGTGTGTGTGTGTGTGTGTGTGTGTGTGTGTGTGTGTGTGTGTGTGTGTGTGTGTGTGTGTGTGTGTGTGTGTGTGTGTGTGTGTGTGTGTGTGTGTGTGTGTGTGTGTGTGTGTGTGTGTGTGTGTGTGTGTGTGCTGGAGGATGAGTGTTGTGAAGGTTTTTTTTTTGACAGACTGTTTTTAAAATTCTGGGGATGGGAGGGAATGCGGGGCCTTTTGAAGTTGTTAAGCTCTTTGAGTTGCATGTATTGTAGGATAAAGTGCTATATAAATAAAGGTTGGTTGATTGATTGATTGATTGATTGATTGATTGATTGATTGATTGATTGATTGATTGATTGATTGATTGAGCTGCCATGAGGCGCACTGATACAAGCTAGGTTAATGAACACCGGTGCCACCGGTCCCTGTGGGTTAGGCGTCTTGCCCACGGACACAACGACAGCAGGGCTCGAACCTGCAACCCTCCAATTACAGGGCGGACACATAACTCCACTTCCAACGTCGAATACTGTACACGTGGTTGCTAGCTTCAGGCAGCATCACAGAGCCATCAGAGTAAAACGGCCAATCAGAACACAGCTCAGTTAATGTCCGGGTGGGCGGAGCAAACTGGTCTTTTCATTCTAAGGCTTTATTATAGAGTTATGATCATTGTGAGCCACCCCGTATAGATATTTACATCCAGACCCGCTGCACATCCAGCCGGTGTTGTGTGCTAAAGCAGGTTTTGTTGGGAGGCCTTTTCTAGACGTTGACCAAAACCTGATTCACTTATTGTCTTTCCATGAATGACCAAAACTAACCACTTGTTTTATGTTTGGTGAAATTCCTTGTTTTGGACGTGATTTTTTGGGTCAGAACCAAACACCCTTCAGACGTTTGTACTGTTCCTCACACTCGTACTTTCTTAGAGATCCAGATCTGAACATCTGCTATAAAATCTTGTTTTTGTCTTTGAAGCCTGAGCCTGACAGTATAGTGATGTTCGCAGCGCGGCTGAAGCAGATCCACAAATAAAAAGCTCATCGCACAAATATTCACTGCTCTTCGTCCCTTCAGTGGTGTAATAAAGAGGCGTAGGTTAGAACAATAACAGGAAAAGCAATAAGCAGCAAGAAGCAATAAACCTATGGTGCCGCTGGGCAAGCAGAGGGGCTCCGAGTGTGAGGACAATAATCTAAATCTCTCTCATCACAACAGGAGAGGCTATTAAATTAAAGCCCTCTGTCTCTTTCCCAGAGTGGATGGGTACAGGGTTGACAGTTGGGCGTCGGCTGCTGAAAGGAACGTCCACGTTTCAGAAGACGCAACAAACAGAGAGGATGCTCAGGAAAGGTCATGTGATCTGTGACATCAGAGGCTGCAGCTGCGAGACTGATGGGATGCAGGTCACTGACATAAAAACCAGCCTTTATTTCTGAGTTCAGAGGAGGGGTGAGAGTAAATCCCAGGTTGACGTCTCTGTTGGGTCGTCTGCAGCAGCAGCAGCAGAGATGAACGAAGCAACAACAAGCCTTTAAACACATCATATTATAACTTGATGTTTATGTTTCATTCAAATGGAGATTCAAACATTAACATGATGTGTTTAGATGATATATTATTAGATACCGATGCTGATGAGGCAGGCTGGACCTAACAGCTGCATTTGATGCTGATGATCGTCGGATCCTGTTGAACCACTTGGAGGGGCTCTCTGTTCTGCGTTAGAGTGGATGAGGTCCTATCTCATGGATAGGGCTTTCTCTGTTTTCCTTGGTTCTTATTTCTCAAGAGGGGCTGAGCTTAGGTGGGGGGGTTCCCCAGGGCTCTGTTTTTGGGCCCCCTGCTGTTTTCGCTCTGGTACCACTTGGTTAAGCTTGGTTTATGCTTGACGCGTCCGCGAGGTTCGCGTGGCTCCGCGCGGCAAAATTGCGTAATTTTACTAACAACCACACACCTCCACCATGCCTCTGCACAGCCCAAACTTTCCGCACCGCGCACCTAGGAAATTTTCTAACCACGCGGACGGTCGGACGCGGAAAAACATGGCGGACTGGCAAGAACTAGTATGGCAGAGGTTCGTAAATACAGACATTTGTATGATTCAGCTCTCAGAGATCACCGTGATCAACATGTTGTTAATAATTCTTGGAGAGAAATAGCTCGCACTGTCGGAAAAGACGAGGACGCTGTTAAAAATGCTGGAACGCCGTGTTGTAAACAACAGTAATTTTTACTTCTACTATGGTGTAGTGTTGGATGCATGCCGTAGAGCTCCATGCTGCCCCCTACAGTTTGGGAGAATATTGGCTCACCGCAGAGACAAGCCGCATGAACCATAAACGCTGCGAGTTGTGAAGCGCGTTCCATCCGCGAGCCGCATCACCAAGCGGAAAGTGAATGCGTCAAGCATAAACCAAGCCTTAGGGTTAGGTTGTTGTAACACATACCATTAGCTTCCATCTCTGTGCTGATGACTGTCAGCTTTATTAGCCAGTTCAGCAAAGGGCCAGGGCTAGCATAAGGCAGCTGGTGAGTAGCTGGTGGGTCCAGTTTCTCCAAAACAATAGTTTTAACCCCCAAATGGATTTGACCTTTTGTCGCTGCACCCCCACGAGAAATCTACGATTTGATGTTCATGTAAATTCTGTTGTTGTTGCCTTTGAATGTTTTATTGTGTCGTAGTTGTTTTTTATACTACGTTCAGCACCTTGGGTCCTCTTGTTTGGGGGTAGGGAGGAGCTTTATCAGTAAACTCGAACACGATTATAAATCCACCATCTGTGACTCATTTGAGGTCAGAATGCAGGAAGCAGAGTGTAGAAAGACTGTTTTTGACCAGTGAGTTACATTTTGAGTGTTTTGTTATTTAACTTTTCCTTTTTGTTATTTATACATCTCCTTTATTTAACGCAAATGAACTAGTAAACCTGTTCACAATTTCTCATAAATATCCTAGATTTTTTATTTATCAGACCCAAAACAAACGGAAACACGACTCGTCACATGTCGTTTGTGTTCCTGCTGCTTTCAGAAGCAGCTTCAGGAAACACGCGGTGAGCTGGAATAAAACACAGCAGCCGACCTGGCGGGAAACGGGTGAAATGGACCCAAACAAAAACACTTTTTACATTTTATCAAGACACAGTCGGATCTTGTTTCCTTCCTCTTTACGGTTCATTCATATTTGCTATTTCACGGTTTCCTGTGCAGGTCTGACTTCTTTATGAAACTCTCTACTTCTCTCAACCAGCGGAAGTTTTTAAACGTGCGTCTGATGAGTCTGATCTCCATCCGCTCATCCATCTGCCGCCTCGTCAAACCATTTCTACACGTTTAATGATCAACACAGCTGTGCTAATCTGTCATAAACCGAATCACAAGTTAAGATTAGAAAAACGCACACATGCAGCAGAACGAGTCATATGCCTTTAGTGGTAAACCGTATTTACATCCGTGTGTTATTTTATTTGTGTCACACAGAGCTCAGAGTCCAGGAGGAAGCGTTATCCTCTCTGACAACAAAATTACATCTAGCTCAAGTTCAATTAACAACATTTGTTAGAAATCAGAGAACCGGTGCTTTAATGTCTTTTACAAACTTAAAGAGCAAGTCACCCCCTACCAGATTAATACTCCACTCCCACTTCCTGTTTGAAAAACGCAACAAATGCTGTTGCCTAGCAGACCGAGAGGGTGGAGCCGCTAACAATACACACACTCCCGACATTGTGACATCATAATGTACCATCTTACATCATAGTGTACCCCTTAGCCAATAGCGACGGCAGATTTAAATTCTAATGCAGTGCTGAGTTTTTACCTGACGACGGTGCATCACTGACAGTTTTAGGCAGAATATTTAAATTTTAACTAAGATGCACTAAAGTGCCGAATTATTGACTACTCATGTCTGCAGCACGATCAGACACTCGTTTATAAAGTTTATCAGAAAAAAAATGTTTATTTGGAGTGACTTGCTCTTTAAGTTCAATTCTGATGAGGATTTTGTGGACAAAAACAAACAAAAACACAAGACGTTTCTGTGGCCAGAAGCAGGGTTAGGGGCGGCTACGTGGTCCATTTTAGAGAAATTAATCCAGATGAGCGAGTGGCAGAGAGTTACTCTGTTTCTGTTTGATCATTTTTAAAGTTATCAGCTGCAACTCCATCTCTGCTCATCGTCAGGTGATGTTGGTGTAAAACTCAGTGGGAGATCTGAAAGGGCTTTAACTGAACGGAGAGTGAGGATAAACGTGGAGGACAGGATTCAAACAAGAGCTAAAATCAGATGATGGATGCCATGGTGACCTAAAGTCCAGCCTGCTGGGGGGTTTAATACTTTAATACTTGTTCTCAGTTCACCTTTTGGACATTTAAAGGTATTTATTTTTAAGTCCTCCTCGTTCTCTGCCTCTGGCCTCGCTCTTTGTTGCTCTATACGGTGACACTGCTGACCTATACGATCATTCAAACCCCCCCCCCCCCCCCCCCCCCCCCCCCCACACACACACACACACACACCTCTACACGATCTGCTGAGTCTGCAGAGGGTGGGGCGGTGCTGCCTCGCCGGTGCACGCGCACGCATGGCTCTTTTTCAACACACAAAGCATGGTGAACAAAAAAAAAACCAACTTTTGACCTCTGAGCTGCATCAAGCTGCTCGTGGTCATAGGAGCTCCATACACCTTCAAAATAAAAGCCTCCCCGAGCTTCAGAAACAGATTTTGTTTTAATTGTCTAAAGAGTCATGTGGAAATTTAATTAGTTAGGTGATTAAAGCAGTTTTTTATTAATAAGTATGCTAGAAAAAACTCATTCAGTTATTTGTCTTGTTTTTACATACTTGCTTTATTCTAACTTGTCAATTTTTTATTATAATAAATAGCTTTGGTTAAATTTTTAGTATTATTGTTGGTGATGGTGACCTCATTTATTCAGTCTTGTCAGTTTAATGTTTGTTTGTTTTTTCTTTTCTTGCTTGTTATTCTTAACCACTTGAAATTTTTCATGAAAATTAAATAAATAAGAAAAACAATCATTTAAACTTTGTTGTAGTTGATCATCGTATTATCTCCAACATAAGAAAAGCAGCGTCTTCAGTACACATTTTCAGATTCCCAGATTTTGACTTCTCTGAATGTTTTTGATGAAAAAGTGATGTTTTTATTCATCAACCTCTTTGTTTTCTCAGATTTCAGGCACACTTTGGGACTTTGGCACCATCTCTCTTGATCATGCTGCAGCTTCTCTGAACAAAAGAGGTTTTATTCCAAGATTCACGCTGTTGGCATCAAACAATCATAATTTCTATTTGTTTAGAAAAAGATATAAAAAAGTGTTCAAACAAATCATTTGTAAAAACCAGTTTGTTTTTTTCAAAACAGTTGTCTTGTTACCAACATTTAAAGAGGACTTTTATTTTGAAGGCTCTTGCAGGAAACCCTTTAGCCGGGGGTCTTACCTTTCTGACTGAGTCAGGGCGAGCACGGGCACACGCACGTGCATGAGAATGCCGCGTGGACGCCAGTATAAAGCAGAAGCACCAGCTTGGCACAAAAGTAGAGGATTTGTTTTGAGGAGCGCGAGGAGAACATCCAGGTAAAACACTTTCCCACCTGAGAGATTCAACCCACAACTCTACCTGCTTTATTTTTTCACATTCACTTTCCTTTCAGGTGATAAAAACCTCCTCATTTAGTGAAATCAACTCCAAATTGATGCTGTTAGTGTAAAATAATCTATTTTATTATGCCATTAAGTTAGAATTAACTCTTTATTTTGTTTTATTTTGTAGAGATGAATAAAGCTTGTCAAAACCACATGTTCTTCCCCAGGATGGGCACCGCCCCTTTCTTTAAGGTGAGTTCACTCACTTTAATTTACTCTTAACAGCTTTTATAGACGCCCACAGGCCCCTGTGTCCCCTCATGTCCCCACCCCCGTGTCCCCCCAGGTGACTGTGTTTGACCAGGAGCATTTCCAAGGAAAGCGTCAGGAGTTCACCTCCGAGTGCTGCAACATCTACGAGTGTGGCATGGACAACATCCGCTCCATCCGGGTGGAGAGTGGAGCGTGAGTCACACAAACTGTACGCCTGCAGGTCTGTGTGTGTGTGCGTGCGTGCGTGTGTGTGTGTGTGTGTGTGTGTGTGCGCGCGCGCCAGTCACACATTCACACATGTGTGTGTGAGAGAGAGAGAGAGAGAGAGAGAGAGAGAGAGAGAGAGAGAGAGAGAGAGAGAGAGAGAGAGAGAGAGAGAGAGAGAGAGAGAGAGAGAGAGAGAGAGAGAGAGAGAGAGAGGGAGAGGGAGGAACGCCGCTGGTTTAGTGACCTTAAAAGAGATTTTTACGAATTACTTTTCATTTTGATATTCATATAAAGCTACGATAAAATAACTAGAACTCCCTGCCTAAATTATGTTTTTCAACTTATTGTTAATTAATTTTGTGTATTTCTATAAACCTGACAAAAATGTCCTTTTAAAGGAGCAATATGTAAGAATTATACAGGCAAATAATCACAAAACCGTCTAATGTGTCAGTCATGTTCTCTGCCAGGGGTTGAATGTTTTTCTCCTTAAACTAAAATGGAACATAGCTGCTGTTTACAGTTTGTGAGGATGCCGAGCAATGGCGCCCCCAAGGGGTGGCCAGGGGTGGCCATTAAGCAAGTCTGGTGTTTACAGGTGCGTTATGTAGAAATTAAGTTAAAATGGCATCCTGGTAAAAATTTGGGTACTGCAACCATTTTAAACGACTGGGAACTTTTGCCAGCCATCGTCAAGTGACAAATTCTCACTATATTCTTCCATACTGCACCTTTAACTCCAGTTCTGCATACAAAATGCCACAAGAAAGGAAATATGATACAAGACATTATTCACCTAAAATCTGCTGCTGCTTTGCTATTACAAGTATTACGGCCGCAGTCGTTTCAGTAATTCCTGAATGTTTGTAAAATAATTGCATTCATGTCCTTAATTACTCATTATTGTCTTTTTTGCTTTATTTTATGCATTAACTAATTAGAATTTTAGACCTAAATATAAAACCATAAAATCTGTTATTGACCGTCAAGAAGTCGTAACTCGGCTGGATGGGATTTCTGACTAAGCATCCGAAATAAGGAGCTCGTTATTTCTGCTCCAAATTGAGTTAATTATCTCGTTCCTATAGGAGGTAAGTCCCGCTGATTCTACAAAAAGCTTTACTTATAAAAACTAATTTGGGACCGTGTGGTCTTTGACCGGATTCTACTAAATATCCATGAGCGGTCACAAACTCATTCCAATGGTAGACGAAGAAGAAGAAGAAAATATCATTTCAATGGTAGACCCAATTAAACAATGAAAAGCCTGAAAAAGCTTCAAATGCTGTTTCTTGTGCATCCTTTTGCACTTTAAAGAGAAAAATAAAAGTAAGGAAGGTATCAATTAGAAGTTTGACAAGTTAGGAGCATCTTTCTGTAAAAAAGCAGCTCAGAGCTTTATTCTTTAAACTTTTCTTACCCTGACTGATGGTTTCTCCATCTGAAAGCTTTGATTCTCGCCCGACATCAATGTTTAAACAATAATAGTAAAGGCATCGATTCTTACTAAGCTTAAAGGGACATTATGGAAGTTTGACAGCCAAAACATGTATAGAAATAATAAATGTCTTCTTCATACATTCTCCTGCAATGCCCTGGTCCTGTAGAACGAGCCCTGGCATTTTTACTGTGATTGCCTGTTTTTCTGTAAAATCACAGAAAAAGAGAGATGCTCGGGTCGAGCAGGCTGCTTCATGCGCGTTCACGCTCAGGCATCGCCCGTAGCATTTGCTATCCGTAGCTTTAGCAGCAGAGAGAGAGGCAGTGCCACTTTGTCGCTGTTCCTAACGCCTAGTGACAAAGCTAGCTACATTTCTGAGGACCCTTAGCTACTTTCTGTAGAACTTTCTTCTAGATATTTCCTGCAAATTAGCAACTAAATAGCCATTTTCACTCCGAACCGTTCTTTGGATTAACGTTGTTTCAGCTGTCATCAAGGATATAAAAGTTACAGATACTGTGGATGCTACTAGAGTGTAGCTCACCTTGTAAGATGTCTGACTCTCATGCAGAAGACCCGGGTTTGATTCTGGGTGTGAACATAGTTCATTTAGTTTCTTTTTTACATTATTGGTATATTTTTTTTACAGTAAGATGCCCACATTTTTATTTGAGACTCGCCGAACGGCATTGAATTCACAGATAAAAAAGATGTGGGTTCAACTTTCATTTTGGAACAATTTTTCAAGCAAGCGAAGGGAATGATCTGAGCATGCAGGAGGACTGACCCGTCTTAAACCTTTGTCGGCTGTGCTGAAGAGAAAGGTACAGAACCAAATTATTTAATTAATTAGCTGCGTGTTCTCCTGTCCTCTGTCCTCCGGGCCACACACACACACACACACACACACACACACACACACACAGGACTGTCTCAGCTGTTATTTTCGCTAAGGAGTGTGCACGTACAGCATGCGTGCCTCGTGCACGAGCCTACTATTGAAGCTGCCGTTACGCTTTTGGCCTGAGGGGGCAATCGCGAGCATAAAAATTCAAAAGTCCATAAAGTCCCTTTAAAATTTGCTGTTTGATAGAAGCACAACTAAATTATAATAATACTAAAATAACACAACTTTCATAGAAACAGATCAAATAACTTTTTTCTGTTTTTGCTGCTGATGAGTTTTAAAAATAATTAATTTTCCAGGAATTAAACCTGTAGATCTAAAGGGTCTTCCTGTCGTGTTGAAGCTGTTTTCACGTTTTTACCGCTGGTGTCTGCAGCTGGGTGGGCTTTGAGCACATCGATTTCCAGGGTCAGCAGTTCATCCTGGAGAGGGGCGAGTACCCCAACTGGGAGTCCTACGCCGGCTCTCTGTCCTACCACAGCGAGCGCTTCATGTCCTTTCGTCCCATCTACTGTGCTGTGAGTCTGGCTGCTGGAGGGGTGGGAGGTGGAGACCACAAACACCATGAACTGATTTCTGTTCCTCCACAGTCTCACCAAAGCAGCCGCATGAAGATCTATGAGAGGGAGAACTTCACGGGCCGTTGCACCGAGCTGTGCGACGACTACCCGTCCCTGGAGGCCATGGGCTGGTTCAGACCCGAGGTGGGCTCCATGCATGTGCAGAGTGGCGCGTAAGTCTTCAGGCTGGTGCAAAAACTTTGTTGTGGGAATTTGAAATAATTTGAAAAGCAAGTCACCCCCTACCAGAGTCTAACTTTGCACCCATTTCCTGAAAAATATGCCACAAGGAGGAGTTGCCTGGCATAAACATCATACACACACAAAGGCTCACGGCAGCATTGTGACATCATATGGTACCAGCATACGTCATAGGGTACATCTTAGCAAATAGCGATGGCAGATTTAAAATCAAACGTAGTGCTGATTTTTTACCCGATAAGGTGCAACACTGACAGTTTTAGGCAGAATATTTTAATTTTAAATAAGATGCACTAAATTATTGACTACACGTGCCTACAGCACAATTGGACACTCATTTATATAGTTTATCAGCAAAAAATATTGATTTGGGGGTGACTTGCTCTTTAAATCAGAACCTGCTCTAAAATATTTGAAGTTGCTTTTATTTTATTTTTTCTGCAGATCTGCTTTTAAATTCCAACACTGACTCAAAACATTTACTCTTTTCATTAAAAAAATGTTAATTTCATGTGTTAAAGATGCACAAATATTCACTTAAACAAGAATAACTCACACAAGTTTTACTTGGCGCTCTCCTCCAGCTTTGTGTGCTACGAGTACCCGGGTTACAGAGGTCAGCAGTACATCATGGAGTGTGAGAGGCACAGCGGAGACTACCAGCACTGGAGGAACTGGGGCTCCCACTGCCAGACTCCCAAGATCCAGTCCATCAGACGCATCAGGCACTGAGGAGGCCGAGCAGAACGGCGGCAGCAGCAGCGGCTCCGGCTAATACCTGGGTGCTGCACCGTTAGTAGGCACGAGAGCTGGATGTTTCTGGACCAGAGCGACGACACAAACCATCAGCGACGCAGCAGCTACCTCTGAAACCAGCACACACTCACCATTCAGTCTGGGATGAAACACCGTTGTGAGACACACGAGTGAAATAAAGTTCACAGTCAGATGTTGGGTTTGTTTGTGATTCATGTTATTTATCTTTAACGAAATCTCATTTATTATTATTATTGTACTCCAAAGCCTTTTAGTCATTTTCAAACAACAAAGTTCATCACATGAAAAGTGCTTCAAGTGTTTGACTTTATTTTAGTTTTTAGTAATCTCTACAAACATTTAATCATGAGGATAAACTCGCTTGTATAAAAACACACTAATGCACTAAAATTCAATTCAAATTCAATTCAAAAATACTTTATTAATCCCAGAGGGAAATTGATTTTTTTTTTAAACTCTTTCTCTGTCTCCGTTTTGTTCCCGCTCTGCATCCATGCTTCTTGCGTTTTAGCTCATTTGAGATTTGTGGCTTCAGTTGAGGTATTATTTCAGCCTTCCCAATGTTAATCAGCTGCTCCCGATTGTAAACCAGCTTGCTGCCATGGTTACGCAACATAACAAATGCTCAAAAAGTGAAAAAAATAGCAGTAAAATTCCTCCAAGCTTCACGGCACCAGGAACAGAAAAGTAAAATGTCCAAAAATATAGTTTTTCTTGAGAAACTAGAAGAAAAAATGTCCAAGAAAAGACAAAGCTTACATATAGTCAACAGAGCTACTCCAACATGCAGCCACCCAGAGCAGCGCAGTTCCGGAATCCAAAATAAGGAGTTAAATCAGCCCAAAGCCTTTTCTCTTTGATGCTTTCAGTTGGATCGTGACTGAGGTCTGCATTAAGGTTTTGCTTGTTTGTGTGAAGAAGTTGCCATGGCGGCGAGTGTTCAGCTGGCACACATCATTAAGTCATTATGAGATGATGGGACTAAAACATCAGCAGCAGCTTGTTTCAGCATAAAGTACAGATGAAGAACGAAATCTGAAGAATGAAGCCAAAGTGAGTCCCAAACACACCAAAACGGCCAATATGTGTGCGGAGAAATGAACTCCAGAAAGGTCTAACAGCATAACTAAAGGGATGAGCCGGGATAACCAAGTATGCCCTCCAGCATAACTAAGGGGATGGGCCAGGATAACCCAAGCTTACCCTAACGGGGTTTCTGCCTCACAGATACCATACCATACCACGTTTATTTATGAAGCACATTTAAAAACAGCATGGCAGCTGACCAAAGTGCTGCACAGTAGTAATATAAAGGAAAAGTCCCAAGATAAAAACAGGATAAAGATCATATAAGAGATAAAAGGGATAACCTAAAAATTTAAAAGATACATACTAGAGCAGGGGTGCCCAATCATGGTCCTGGAGGGCCGGTATCCAGCAGGTTTTAGTTTTAACCCTTCTTCAACACAATCAGCAGGTGATTAACAGGCTTCTGTAGAGCCTGATGAACTGCTGCACAGGTGATTCAACCACTGAATCAAGTGTGTTGGAGCAGAGAAACCACAAAACCTGCTGGATACCGGCCCTCCAGGACCAGGATTGGGCACTACTGTACAAGAGTAAAAACAAAGTCACAATAAAAACATAAAAACAATAAAAGCTCGGTCATTGATTAAAAGCTAAATGATAGACATAGGCCTTCAGTGCAGACTTGAATCGACCCAGTTCCGGGGCCTGTCGAACACTAAAGCCGGGCGTACACTGTGCGACTTTTTCACTTGCAGCATTCAGCTTCAGCTCAAACTGTACGACTTCCTCGCAGAGCAGATCTCACGAGTCATGTGCTCACACTGCACGACCCAGTTCTCGCATGCGACCTGACTGCTCACACTGTACGTCTGGTAGCAACACGATGGCCCTAAAAATATGCTAAAAATAGCAGTTTTTACTCAACACGTCAGACTTTCTTGTCTTGTTTTGCCTGCTGTCCTTCGGGAGTGCTGCAGGAGGACACACAGGGATTGATGGGGGTTGGATGAGGAAAACGAAATAAAGAAAGTAAATCTGTGTTTTGTGATCAGTTTAATTCGACATGAACACGACAAACACGCTTTCTTGACAATCTTTGTGAGTAAAAAAACGTGTAGAAACAAAAACGAACAACGTGTGTTTTTAGGGAAATAGCGGGGAGCGGCGTTGATGCAGGATTGCGCATGCGCCGTGAGCGGTTCTGATACATTTTGGGTCGCAGCTGCTCGCAGCGCCGCTTCAACAGTGCGATACCCTCACGAGGGACGAGCGAAATTTTAAACACGCCAGAAGTCCGTGCGACCTCACGACTGCTGATCGGCAGCTGGTCACGTGGTGTTAATCGCCTCTCGTAACCCCCTGTACACTACACGACCGCTCGGCGCAAAACTTGCCCCGATGTCGTGGATTCTCGCACGACTGGAAAATCGGCTCAAAAAAGTGAAAAAGTCGTACAGTGTACGCCCGGCTTTAGGGGAGAGCATTCTAAAGTTTAGGGGCAGCCAAAGCAAAGGCCCGCTCCCCACGAGATTTATACCTCATTTTTGGGATGCACAAAAGCAAGTGATCTGCCGATCTCAGGTTTCTGGGTGGAGCATAAGGCTTAAGCAGTTCTGACAGATAAGCAGGGGCTTGACCATTCAGGGTGTTGTAAACAAAGGTTAAAACCTTAAACTGGATACGATATTTAACAGGCAGCCAGTGCAAGCGTGCAAGGACAGGTGAAATATGACAGCGTCTAGAGGTGTTTGTCAGGAATCTAGCCGCCGCATTCTGTACTCTCTGAAGATGCTCAGTTGCTGAGACACTGCCACCAATAAGTACTGAGTTGGCATAGTCTAAACGTGAGGCGACAAAGGTGTGAACAACAGACTCCAGCTGTGGTCGTTTGACTATTGACTTTAAACGTGAGATGTGGCGTAGTTGAAAAAAACAAGACCTGAATGTAGCATTAATTTGAAAACTCATTGACAAATCAGAGTCAAGTTTCACTCCCAGACTGGTTACACAAGATTTCAAATTTAAAAACGGTAGAGGGAAGTCACCAGGTGCATGCTTTGGATTGACTGGATTAAAAAGAATGGCGTCGGTCTTGTTTTCGTTAAGGCAAAGGAAGTTCTCCGACAGCCAGCCTTTAACTGCAGTAATACAGTCAACGAGAAGGCAAGTTGAGTCAGGTTTACTTAAAGCCAAATAAATCTGGCAGTCGTCAGCGTAAAGGTGATAACTCATCCCAAGGTTTGCTAAAATAATCCCTATGGCAATAAGTAAGTCGAGAACAGGAGTGGCCCCAGAATCGAACCCTGAGGCACACCTCAGCGAAGTGGAGATGATGGAGAGGAAAAGTTGTCAATGTGAACTCTAAATTAACTATCTGACAAATATGATCTGAACCAGTGAAGTGGGGTCCCTTTCACCCCCACCCACAACTCCAGTCTCCTAAGTAGGATGTTCTGGTCCACTGTGTTGAAGGCAGCAGAGAGGTCCAGGAGTAACAGTAGGACATGGGAACCAGTATCAGTTGCCACCAGGATATCATTTAGTACACGAAGGTGTGCAGTTTCTGTGCTGTGGTGAGGCCTAAAGCCAGACTGAAAGTGGTCAAGGAGGCTTTGATCTCCCAAGTAATTGGAAAGTTGAGTGTGGACTACTTTCTAAATAATCTTGGATAAGAACGGGAGACCATGGTCTTGATTCGGAAAAGGGTAGAATGCCTTCTCTGGGTCAGGGATGAGGTCCTGCCCCAAATGGAGGAGTTTAAGTATCTCGGGGTCTTGTTCACGAGTGAGGAAAAACTGGAGCTTGAGATTGATAGGCGGATTGGTGCTGCATCTGCAGGGATGCGGGTGTTGTACCAGTCTGTCGTGGTGAAGAGAGAGCTGAGTCAGAAGGCGAAGCTCTCGATTTACCGGTCGATCTACGTTCCTACCCTCACCTATGGTCATGATCTTTGGGTAGTGACCGAAAGAACAAGATCGCGGATACAAGCGGCCGAAATGAATTTTCTCTGAAGAGTGGCTGGGCTCTCCCTTAGAGATAGGGTGAGAAGCTCGGTCATTCGGGAGGGGCTCGGAGTAGATCAGCTGCTCCTCCACATCGAGAGGAGCCAGTTGAGGTGGCTCGGACATCTGGTCAGGGTGCTTCCTGGACGCCTCCCTGGTGAGGTTTTCCGGGCACGTCCAACCTAAAGACCTAAAGACCTAAAGGTAGACCCAGGACATGCAGGAGGGACTATGTCTCTCAGCTGGCCAGGGAACCCCTTGGGATTCCCCCGGAGGAGCTGGCCCAAGTGGCTGGGGAGAGGGAAGTCTGGGCCTCTCGACTTAGGCTACTGCCCCGCGACCCGACTCCGAATAACCGGATGAAAATGGATGGATGGATGGATGGATGGGAAAATGGGAGTTTGGAAATCAGACGATAGTTAGAAAGGTCAGTATGATCTAGGCAAGGTTTTTTCAGGAGTGGATGTACGGCTGCATTTTTGAAGGTGGAATAAATGGCGCCAGCACAGGAAGGGCCCCAACTAGTAGTTTGGGTGGGACGGAGTCCTCCGGTGAACCAGAGGGCTTCATGGACCTGACCAGCTCCTCCAGATCATGAAGAGACAACAGAGTGAATTTAGAAAATTGACTTAGGCAGACTGGTTCCTCAATGGTGGACTGACCCAATGGCGAGATGCTTGACCTAATATTCCGAATTTTATGCAGAAAAGAGTTCATAAACTCAGTACAAAGGGTCGTCGTTGGCACAGAGGGTGTAGCTGCATCTTTTAAAGAGAGAACCGAATTAATGGTACTAAACAGTTTTCCTTGATCACCAAGATGTGTTGTGATTATATTTCTAAAGTACTTATTTCTGGCTGTTCTCACCGCTTTCTGATACAAGAACAGAGAATCTTTCAACATTTGTAAAGAAATTTGTAGTTTGTCCTTTTTCCATTTGCGTTCATAAGATCTGCACTGGCGTCTAAGAGCTCGAGTGTTGTCATTAAGCCGGGGATCAGAGACAGATTATTTACTCTGGATTTTAAGAGGTGCAGCAGAGCTAAGAGCAGCCAGGTGGTCACCATATCATCTACTTCCATGGGTTTAGACCTGGGTGAAATGGTTGAGAAGCCATCGGCCAGACCAGATGATAACAGAG